AATTACAACCGATAGCTAACCGAACCCTCTCTTCCCAGAATCCGCCTCCTGCCCCAAGTGGCAGGATAATTAACCAGTTGGTAGGCCTAGCAAGGATAGAAGGCCACACACAGCTGCCTCGACCTTCTGCAGTGCCGGGGGGCTTCGGCTTGGCGATGGCTACTAGTGTATTTGGAGCTCAGAGAGACGAGGTGGAAAGGTTGAGTCAGAGCCGAGGCTGGCTGCTGTTAAACTGTCAAAATGATGCTGTTGGAAAACAAAAGCACTTGCATCTGCAGAAATATGCTTTTTTGTTTTCACAAATGTAGAAAAAAGTAACTCTTAAATTCCTCAGTGACTCCAAATGTATTTCTGACATTCTTAAACTTAATGTTAACCATGTTCAAGCACTCAGGGGATGTGAAATTCACCCAACACCTGAAATGCAAAGTGTTTTTTACGCAGCAAAGTTTAAAAGGCACCAGCCAGAGCTTCAGTCAGGTGTCTTGAGGCACTGACCAGAGAGAGAGAGAGAGAGAGAGAGAGAGAGAGAGAGAGAGAGAGAGAGAGAGAGCAAAAAGTCACCTAGTCAGCAAACACTTTTACTCACCCTTTAAATCTCTCTCTTTTCCTCTCTGTCGCTCCTGGAGTCGTGTTTCAGGAGCTCTCTGCGATTGTAATCAGGAGCGTTTTTCAAAAAATACCCACACGGCAGTCTTTACATTTGGTACATAAAGTGTCCAAAGCAGAAAGGTGACCTCACTGATCTGTCACATCACCAAACCTTCCAACTACCAGAGTTAGTTTGGCAAAGTTTTAATTTTCATGTATGATCATAAAGAGGAGGGACAAAACTGTGTACTGTATATGTAACACACATGTAGTGTGCTGGAAATAGTATTCAGATCCTTTACTGAGGTAAAGTAGTAATATAATGTAATGCATACAATGTAATTTGTACATTATAGTACAAACCCTCTGTTTCAGGTCCTGTATTCAGAGTTGTAATGAAGTATGGACGTATATTGGTAAAATATGTATACACACACATGCATACACAGAAATATGTATAGTATGTACTGTATATGGGCATGTGTATATATACTATATATAGATATGAACATGCATGGTACACCAATCAGCCATAACATTATGAGTACTGACAGGTGAAGGGAATAATAAGAATAATAAGTGAATTATCTGGTTATCATGGCACCTGTCAGTGGGTGGCATTTATTAGGCAGGAAGTAAACATTTAATCCTCAAAGTTGATGTGTTAGAAGCAAGAAAAATCAGCAGCGTGAGGATTTGAGCGACTTTGACATGAGCCACATTGTGATAGGTAGACGACTGGGTTAGAGCATCTCCAAAACTGCAGCTCTTGTGGGGTGTTCCCAGTCTGCAATGGTCAGTACCTATCAAAAGTGGTCCAAGGAAGGAAAAGAACAGACAGGGTCATGGGTGGCCGAGGCTAACTGATGCATGTGGGGAGCAAAGGCTGGAAGTTCATGCTGGTTCTGATAGAAAAGTGTCAGAACACACAGTGCATCACAGTTTGTCACATAGGGGGGCTGCGTAGCCGCAGACCACTCAGGGTGCCCAGGTGGTTGTAAGTTACGGCTGATTGGTGTATGTTGTGTATGTATAATGTGCCACTACTATTACAGGACATGGATATTTCTGTACTTGACGTAATATATGTAAAGGGATCATTATGCACCTCTTTCTGCCCTCTTTAATAGAGTTTAATTATTACCTATATCACATTCTTGGATTATGATCACTGATGCATTAATGTATAAGTAGGTTTTTAATGTTGTTGTACTCAAGGGGGAGCTAATTTTAACTAGTTTATAAACTGCTGGGTAGTTAGCTAGAACAACACAAAACCTATTCTAAAAAGTTGATGACATGTTTTGGAAAACAATTATGATTTTAAAAGCAACTATAGCTGTAAAAGAAATATGGGGGAATATTAAGTACTTTTCCATCTGAATATAGTGGTGTAGAAGTAGAAGTAAGTAAGAAGTGGGATAAACTCCAAATATATATAAATATATTTGGTTACTTCCACCACATGATACTTTTAGGCCAAAACACTAAACAAACAGTCACAAATGCAGTAGCTTTCTAGATCCACTAGGAGTCAGTTTTTCTTATCAAATACATTAACACACATTTCAGAAGGGAGATATAAAAAGTATAGTACTTTTTAAATAGCTTCTATAATGATGATGATGATGATGATGATGGGGATAATTAGAAAGAAGAGGAGATGTGTGATAATGAATTATACAGTTTCACTTTACAGTAAAAGTTGTCCTGAATAATGTTAATCTTAATTTTATGTTTGATGAATTTACAGTAGTTAACGTGGCATATTGTCTGACTTCCCATGTCTCATAGTTGATTATCCTACAGTACATCAGTTAATTATCACTCAGTCAATTATGTTGACATCAGAATTGCAATTAGAGGCTGGACAAACAAGGTAATAATCAAGAGAGGTAAACAACATGCTATTTTCCTGTTTGAGGACAATCATAATAATCAGAGGCAGTGTGACTGCTTCAAGGGAAACAAAACACACAATGAAAACTACAGAGAATTTACAGCATACAAGTATTCACTCAAGCATTTCCAAATATTTTTATAGCTTTGATGGTGATATAAATTTAGTTTTGAACAACTGGTGTGCTCCGGGTCATTTAAGATCACTTGCTGTGTCAGTTACTGTTACAGTGGTGTTGTGTCACCTGAGGTGTAAATGAATCAACTAGATGCTTGTACCATCACAGATAATTCATACAAGCTAATAGTTTGCTTATTTGTGAAATAATAGAGCTTCAGTAAGACATGATGATGATACAGGAAGTAATCAGTGGTGGAAAGTACTGAAATGACATGCGTATACTTAACTCGAGCATCTCAATTTAATGGTACTTTAGACTAATATTGAAACAATTAGTCAACTGAACAGTTATTTTATTTATATTATTTGCAATTATTTACTTAATTCCAGCTTCTTAACGGTGAGAATTTGCTGCTTTTCTGACATTTAATAGACCAAACAATCCACCGATTAATTAAGAAAATAATCAGAGGATTAGCCTCTATAGAAAATAACTGTTGCAGACCTAGACTGCACTTTTTAATTCCCTTCATTTGTCTGAGAATTATGGTCACTAGATACTTAATGAGCATATAAACTGCTATGCATTACAGTGAACTTGTACATTACAGTATTGCTACTTTTATTCTAGAGAAAAATCAGGCTACTTCCTCTACCAATGGAAATACTATAACATAATAACACAGGCAAATAAAAGAGGAATAACTATATAGGACCAACACTACATGTATACCACGATGTTAATGCAAGATACATAATGAACTTCATGGGCCTTTAATAATAAAATTCTGTGTGAAAAAACAAACAAAAAAATACCCCAAACAAACAAAAGCTAGTAAACACGAACAGAAGATCACCTGGTTGTTAGTAACTAAGAGAAGAAGGTAAAATGTCATGTCACCTAATTTTCGGGCACATCCCACTTGTAACACACGTACTGCACATACACACACTGGCTATTTTCATCTACTGAAGTGAAAGGAAGCAAATAACAGTACATTATCACAGGCTGCACGCACACAAAAGCGCTTGCACACACAAAGGTGCTTGGATTATTTTGGCAAGCAGTGAGTTTATTATTTTGTTTTATGGGGCTGGGAGGAGGGGGAGGTTGTTTTGCGGCGCTGCCTGTGATACGGCGGCTCTGTTTGTGCGCTTGTGAGAAAGGAAGCACCAGTAAGATCAATACATCCTCTACGTAGATTTCCAGCAGTGTGTGACGTGCGTGTGGGGAAATGAGCTGGGCCGAGGATACTTTGCTTGTTATGGATTTGACATGAACTTGGCCCCCGGCCTCTCTGAATGTGATGAATGTATTATTTAATCTTCCTGTCTTTGTTAACCTCCTTTTGGCCAAAGGCACAGTGATTCTCTCTCCGTGAGTGGATGAAACAACATCTCCAGTTTGGCCTTTGGATTTTGATGAAGTATAATAATGGCTGTAATAATAGAGCCTCTCCACAAGGACCTTTCCCACCGCAGACATGCTAATGGGACCGGTGCTGTATTTTAAGCACATGTGAGTCAACTGCACAACACAGATTTAAATTAACATCACTGATTAATATGGCTGTGGATGGCACTTAAACAGCTGCATTGATGGGTCATTGACACTTTATCACTTCATTATTTAGGATTGAATGGCTTAATTCAATAACATGTTGAGTTTTAGAATATAATTCTAGAACATTTTGCAAAGTGAAGGTCACTGGTGAGGGTAAAGTTCAGGTTGTAACGGTTAAAGTTAGTTAGTCAGGACTACAAATGAGAAACACAAACCAAAAAAATTTAAAATAAAAATCAAATGACATGCAATACAGTCACACTGATGCTGTAATTTTAGCTGTATGTCATATTTTGTGATGATAATAGTTTTGGTTTGAATGCCATATTTCTTTGTGTTTTTATATTTGGGCAATATTAACTTCATACAGATCCCCACACTGGTGGATGATTTCTAACATTTATTTAAAATACAACAAATATTTGAAAATACGAGCTTGCAACAAATGCAGCTAAAAAACTTTTTCATTATCACTTAATCTGATGATTATTTTTATGATTAATCAATTCATTGTTTAGTCAACAATACGTAAGAAAACTGTGAAAAAGGATGATCGCAGATTCAAAGAACCAAAGGTCAGATTTAAAAGATTGCATGTTTTGTCTAACCAACAGCCCAAAACACAAAAACACATCACCTACAATTATATAAAAACAGAGAAAAACAGTAAATCATCGCAATTGGAAAAGCAGAATACAGTGAATGTGTCATATTTTTTCTTTAAAACCTACTTCATGTGACGTCATGACGATTGTGCGATGTAAAAACAGGCAAGAAAAGGTTGAAAAATGTGGGGTTTGTGCGTATAAAGGCAGATGTACTTACGTGTGTGTTTATGTGTGCGCAGGGGGAGAAGTCTGCTAAAAATAAATATCTTGCCAGTAGCTTCAGACAATGACAGGGCAATATTCTTCAGAGGTTGAGGACGTCAGAGCTGTTGGACAGGATTCAGACACAAAGACAAAGAGACAAATTTAGACCTTTGGTTAGTTGCCTGAGTGGGAATGACATTCGTCACCTGTGGGTCAGAGATATTTCAATCAACACAGACACGCACTGAATAAAGAAACAAACAGAGGGAGGAATAGAGCGCATGTCTCACCTATGCCAAAAAAATGCATGCAAGAGGCGTTCAGACACCAGTGGGCTTGTGGGAAAATGTGCATTTATGGAGGTTGGCTCTGTGTGGAAAGCTGAGGTTGACACATCATCAACAGCTGTATGTACTGCAAGTTAATATTTACATGATGAAGTATAAATGGCTCAACATTTTCGTCAAACAAATTGTGAAAAGACATTTACACTTCACATTTCAATTGTATGCATTTTATTGCCCTCGGTAGATTTATTTGTGTACCCTTCTGTATGTTTTATGTATGTTTTTGGTTAGTTGAGACTGCAAGTTCTTAAAATGTTGATATTAATTACTGTCCTGTATAAACAATCCCCTATAAACAAACAACTAGAAGATAAAATATAATATTTATTTATGTTTTCTCATGCTTGTGAGCCAAGACACTGAGCATAGATCCATGTTCTTTACCTCCTTTATCTCTCTCTCTCTCTCTCTCTCTCTCTCTCTCGCTGCCTGTGACTGAAGAGTCTAGAAACACTTGGCCACCTTTTATTTAAATTCTAACAACTGTTTGATTATGGAAAGGAAAATAAATATTCAATCTGTAATGATCTGCTGATGTACTCCAGCAGGGGGAGTTCATAAAATGCACTCTGAAGACCGTGTACACCAGAAAGTCGCGGCAAAATTAGTTGCAGAACTACTGTAGCTGAACTGCCGCTAACAAGCTATCCAGCCGGGAACATTCTTCAACAAAAGAGTTTTTGAATAATCATTAGTGAATTTTTAAGGAAAAATGACAAACATTTACTGGTTCCAGCTTTTCTTTGTCATACGTGATAGTAAACTGAACATCTTTTGGGTATTGCACAGTTAGTTGGAAAAAACAAGACATCTGAGAACGGTTTGTGGGGAATTATAACAGTTATACAGTATACCACCACAACATATCACCTGATAGCTTGTTAGAACAGATTAATATAAATTCTACAACACATTTTATATGCAGAATGCAATGTGTTCAAATTAATTAAAACCAATTAGGTTAATTCTCATTTATTCAAACTGGATTTTTAAAACACTCCTTATCTGCCAATGGTGTAGGTCATTGTTTCTCAAACTTTTTACACCGTGTACCATCTCAGAAAATATTAGGCTCTTCAAGTATCTCCATTATGACTGATGTTAAAATACAAAAGCATAGTCCGACTCTATTCAGCTACGGACAGTTCACGCAGAAGATTATTTATTGTTGACTGTAGTTGAATCCTGAACGGAACTGGTTCAAGAACCAGATCTAAAAAAGAAATGGGGCCCACACATCTTGCAATCACATTTAGCTCTTAACTAATTATAGATGGATGTGTGCGCTATTTCCATGAACGTGACTACGTAGCAGGCTGATTGCAATGAAATAAAATGCAAAACTTATTTGAAATTACATTTCAGCAATCTCAAGTATTTTCAATTGGAGATTCCTCTGCGTACCACTAGAGGCAGCTTGCGTACCACCATTAGTGCTATGCAAGCACCTGCACCACTGAATTTCACTTTAATTTTGACATCAAAATGTTTAAACACTATACTATAAGTATTAAAAGCAACCCTCAGCCAAACTGGAAAGATCAAATGTTAAACTGGTTCTGAATGAACTTCAAATGTTTCAGGTAGCCCTGAAAACCAATAAAGCTAGACATAAGGGGTATAAAGCTTTGTAAAAAAAGAATTATATAAAACAACTAGTTATTTGCTTCAGTGCATCTTACACAAAAGTCCTCACTGTGATCCCAGGGTATGCTTGCATCACTTAAGCTCAATGCTTCATAACACAAATGTTAGATAGGACGCTCAATGTGCAGTGCAATGGAGCTTCACAGCGGCTCTGTTACAGCCGCCATGACCTGTAGCCGGTGAACCAGCTCCGTCGCTGACAAAATGAGCCAAGTTCCTTTCAAAAAGCACATGAGCAAGGAGGAAAAATTCTTCTGGAGACGCAACGAGGTGAGAGAAATGTTCTGTAAACGTCTGCAACATGACCCTAAAAATACTGAACAGATTCCCTTGCTATTAATGAGGGCCTCCGTCACAGCTCTTGTTGTCTCAAAAGAGGCAGATGACCTGTTGTCAGCTGTGGCGGGCAATCAAACAAATATAGAGTGTTGGATAATGAACTGTGAATGTTGCCAGGAGGAGTTGATGTCTCCACCAGTTGATGTCTCCACTGTGCTGTCCTGTCCTCGTCCTCCTCCGGCTTTTTCACCAGGTCCCTACATCCATATATCACTCAATTCGTAGATTTGAGCACATGGTAATTCTTACAAAAATACCAAATCCTCACCACCAACAGGCGGAGTGACCCAAAGGTCTGAGGACGTCACGCCAGGCAACCCAGTGAAAGCCCAACTCCCCCACAAAACACCCTAAATCGGTTTTCACTTTGCAGTGCCAAACCACAAAGAAGGAAAAAAAAAAAAAAAGATGTTATATCGTTAGAAAATTTGCAATCATAAAACCTATTTTTCAACTCTATTTAAAGCCAGGGTTAGGCTTTAAGCCTCCGATGAGAGTAAGATTAGGGTTAAGGTTAGGGTAAGCTTTAAAAACAACTTGCTAGGTGAAAATTATAACAAAATCCAACGTTGCAGCCCGGCCAGAAAGGATCAGGCTCCTAAATCTGGAGCCTCGCCTCCGCAATCAGCTGGACACAACCGACCGCAAGCCGGGGCACTGAGAGCCATGTGGATGTTTTACTGAAGGCTCTCCTCGGCCACAGGACAGACGATTGACACATCAGTTATCCACACAGAAATCTAGATCACACATTTCTGCTCAACAGGCCGTCCGAATTAAAAAAGCATTTGTCGGAGAAAATAAGCACTGTCCACTGGCCCGGATCTATTCCACACATTTCTGGGAAGGTAGTAAATTTCAATACATGCATCATTTTTTCTGGTTCTTTTTGACCCGAATGATCCATTATATGACAGTGAATCAGGAGCCTGCAGTTGAATGGTCTCCAATGCCTCTTCACATGCATACCTCAATAGCACAGGCCCCCCTCCTGCACAGGATACAAGAGATTTGGATGAGCAGAGCTGTGCTCAGCCCCTGATGTCAGAGATGACTCAATCCAAAAGCTTGTAACTCCAAAACACATCTTGGAGCTCCTGAATGGAGGCGAAATGGGAGGAAAGGAGTAGAAGGAATTTGTTTCCATGCCTCCATAAACATGTTTTCTCTATTAGATAAAAGTATTCTCATGCACATGTCAGTCATAAAGTAGACTACAAGACCAGACTGTTCCAAAGACTACATGAGGAAGAAAAAATGTAAACATTTTTAACAACACTATGTCTCTATTTAAGAGGATTGTCAACTTTCTTTTGCATTAGTCTCTAAAACCCACTTGAGTTAAACACATTGATGTGTTTTGTTTTACCCTCTGCGAGGCTGGCCCTCAGTATGAGGGTCCCTGGGGAGGTTGAGATTAGCTAGAATGTGACGAGATGGTGACAAATATCCAACACTCCCCCGCATCAACAATCCCAAACGCAACCACAATGGAGGAGAACGCAGCTCCGATTGGGCCGGAAAGCAAAACAAAACAAAAAAGGAGACGCAGCCAGGAAGCGAGGTATCCATTTCATGCCCCCGTCTGTTTGCCTGCCACCTGTTAGACATGATCATTACCACGAAGCAAGGCATAGGGGGCTAAGCTGGCCACATTTATATCAACAAGCTGGGATAAAACTGTCTAATTATCCCCCACGGCCTCTGGCCTGGCCCCCGACTCTGGTCCCATTTGCCAGCCTGGCCTGCAGCCAAACTCTGCAGGCTGGTATGTGAAAGCACATCCTAATGACAGCTCTCTTTCAATCCCAGGTCTTTGTAATTGCCCTGGGTAGCTTATACACATTATGTGGCACCAGTCCAGCGCAATAGTTAGAAGGTCAAGGAGAGGTTTAATGGAATAAGTATGCGGATTTATTGCTGTACCTGGTCTGAATAAATTACCGTCATGTGAAAGTGTTGAGGTTCATGATGACAACTGGGTTCCATTTTTAAAGAAAATATAGGTCTGCTTGAAAGTCGTACCGAAGAAGGATGGTGGTCTCTAACACAGCAGCAAAGTTCTTGTAGAGTTTTCAATAGTCCAATGCATGGAAACAAGTCTAATTTTCTACTTTAAACAAGTGTAACTTTAAAATAACATCCAAGCAATTTTGCCTCTTGTGAACAAATGCTAAAGTCGGGCAGAGTTAAGCTTTGATGATAGCCCGTGATTGAGAGCAAACGTAGACTAAATGTAAGCAATTTGCACCTGTGCAAAGCTGACTATTATCATAACAGTTTTGATGGCTACAGAGGGAATGTGGTGGGTGGGAGCGGGGCATCCAGATCCCCGTGGGAGGTAGCATTAAGGTCTTAATTAGGACGCAGGGGGAAAGATTCAAAGTACTCCAAGATGACGAGGGACGCAGCGATGGGAAACCGGAGCTGATCGTCTTTCCTAGTTCAAGGCTAATTGCTGAAAGGGATCTGACATGGATGTGCAGGGAAACACGGACGGTATGTAATAAGATGACGTGAGGTCATCTCTAAAAGCTGTTGGACTAATTCTGTGCGTCTTTGGTAGCTTGTAGGTCTACATTATTAAGACATCACACGACACATTTCAATAAGCTCACAGCTTGATGCTACAGTTCAGTTTATTCTGAACTAAACTTTTTTGTTTTTGTGGACATACTGTACACATAATTTCCTTTGACTGCTTTTAAAAGATTATACATAGTTCATTTATACCACGAGTGACCGAATTGTCACTCAGCGAAAGCTGCCACAGCGGCCTGTTTACTTTC